GGTGATTCATTGTTGTTTCATATGACAGTACGCCAAATGAGCAAAGTTTTTTTTCACAAATGTTTTCAATGAGCAAATGTGGGCTCACAATAAAACCCCTAAACTGAACAATGTTTTCCTGAAATGACATCTCATGACCGCACCCTTGTTTGCCACGAAAAGCTTCGAAAAATTTAAATGTTTAAAAAAGTGTTCTTTTCAATCAAATTAACGAAAAGGAATGTCAAATAGTTTCCATAGGAATTCCTGAACTGCGAACATCTGCTGTTCATGTGCAAATATACACGTGTAGTCCCATTTTATTTTTTTATTTTAAGTTTTTTTCGCTTAAATGTTCATAATGTATTTAAATAATAAATTTAATAATTTTCAATTTTTGCATAACATTTTTTACACTTACTTTTACAATCATTGAAAAAAATACTATAAAAACCTCAACTCGTACAGTACATAAAAAATACTGTACATCATTTACATTGTCTTTTTTTTCTTCTATTTTTTTCGTGCGTGGCCATATTGTTTGTATGTGGTGTTCCATTAACTTATTAAATCATGCAGGGAGGGAAAGACCACGGAACCCAAGCCTCTCCCAATCCATCATAATGTCCATTATAAGCGGCAGGTGTTCCAATCATAAATATTTATAATTTGTTTTGCTGAATATGTCTGTGTAATTTTCCCACTTGTTTTGTACTGAAAGCAGGATCCTAGTGGATTTGTAATATCTCGTTGCAACTCTGGGATTTCTAGTCTCAAAGTGAATGATTTTTGTCCATTGTATTAATCAGGGGTGTGAAATCTCAGCTTTAAAGCTGATTTCAGCTTTTTTTGTTTTGGATTTCAGCTTTTTTTTCCAGCTTTTGCCCTCACTTGCTGTGTACAAAAGTATAGGAGATTTCCAAAGTTCAGTTTTTTACACCTTTTTTCAGCTGTTTTCAGCTATTTTTTATCAGTGGTCACTCACACCCCTGTAAAATAGTTCCTCACTTGAAATACTTTGTCTCATTTGCTTCTACTTCCTGTGATTCAATTGCAGGGCATCTTTTTACTGTAAGTGCAAGTTTTTAATAATGTTACCTTCAGTTTCAGTTTTACATGTAAGCTTCTTTAATTAGATTCGAGATTTGGCATAATTTTACCAATATGGCATCACAGTTAAATGTACAATGTAATATATAAAGTCATATATTCAAAGTGGCAAAAAGCAATATTCAATCAGTTGATGATCAAATGTTTTCGAGACAGCAGGTTCACGTGTACTGTATTCTTTTGAGCATATTTACGAAACATACAGTAGGCAAGAATTTTTTTAATCACCCCTGATCGAGGTGTACAATGTACATGTACTGGTACATGTACATGTACATGTATGTAGGGTACTTTGATTAATGAATGAATATTTAGGCCAACTAGACCACATAAACCTTTTTACACACAAACATTTCTCAAAACTATGGAAAATGTACATTTGTTGAAGAAAAAGGCAAGAAGCTATTTCATAATAGCAAATCTATAAAAATGAAAACGAGAATTAAATGTGGAAACTGTACCAAACATTTGTACGGTACGTTTCTACCGGTATGTTTCCATATTGCAAAGAATACACCTATAGATGCATTGTCAAGTCCAATGTGCTGGGGCACCAGCAGATGTTGACTCGTGTATGTTTTGAGGTTTATTGCTTTCATTGCTGAAAACTTGTACACGGAAATAGTACTGGTGCATTGTACGAATTTGCTTTTATTAACTTTGACACAGTAAAAAGAGTTTGTATTGTTGTAAGCCTATTTGTATGTTTTTGGTGTCATAGATTTGTCACAGGTTTTTCAACAGCAAGTATTTGGTGCATGTACATGTAAATGTATGGTTGAATTTTGGAACATGTATGGTGAAGCTTTGGACATCAGACATCTTCTATAGCCTATGAGTACATGTATTTCCTGTATGTATACATTTGAACCAACAAAAATACAAATGTACGATGGGTTCAATTAAATTTGTTTGTACTGTTGCACATTTTAAGTTAGTGAAGGAATTGGGCAATTTGCATGTGGCGTGGGAAAATCATGTAGTCTACATTGTAGGTCATTTTGTCTGACCTGACTGACCAGTTGGTTTGTCAGTTTCACTCTCTGTGTACATGTATGGCTACAGTACAGTCTTGTTGATAACCTCATGTACCACAAGATTTGTGCTGTGTAGGCCTACTCCTCAGTAAAAGTGTACGAATTTTATTCTATACCAACTGCATTTCATTAAATTACAAAGAATGAATACAATGTAGGCCTAAGTACAACATACACAGAACAAATTGAAACTGGAAAAACATGTAACCCTCATGCTTCCTGAACAGTCACAGACAGTCAAAAAATCAATCCTCTTCCCCTGCCGTGCCTTTTACACAGGCTAGTCACCGACAGCAAGCTCTGTGACTAGTCAAATTCAGTCAACCGTCAACAGGCATGCAACTTTTCCTCAGATCAGCTGATTTCCTCGTTTTTCACTTCACACTTATGCCATTAAAAATTGAAAAAACAGTGTACAAAGTCTTGGAAAGATTGGAGTTTCCTCGTTTTTTTTTCTTCCAAGTTGCATGCCTGCGTCAAAAGCAGGCAAGTGGTACATGTATGCACCGCTGGCTTATCAATCATTGTTAGTAACATAAACAGTCACAGCCAGTCAAGAGTACATGTACATGTACGTGACTTTATTCTGTCTGGCTTCTGTGTAGTGGTTTGACCAGAAAAATGCAGGTACATGCACACAGGCTCCATGTTCTGTGCATGATTAATTGTCAAAGTTTTGCATTTTAATTAATTTGAAATGGGAAATTAATTGAAAATATGTTTCACGTTGCTGTAGAATTACGGAACATGTACCGGTACATTACAGTACATCCAAAAATACATTACACTATTACAGGTGCATCAAAGTACATGAGGGGAGGTGCAAACATGTGGTTGTTGGTGATCTGATACACTGTGCCCTCTGGAGACATGCACACAATAGGGAACAAAACTGTGTATGCGTCTCCACAGGGCAATTTCTATAGATGAACACATCTCCACAAGGTTTTCATGAAATAGATACATGTACACGTTTGTATATAGATTTTACACAAAACTAGGAATTTCCAAGGTGCGTTGCTTTGTCGCAAATGGAACAGTTTTAGAAAAGGGATATTAAGTCCGAATTTCAGCCAAGGAAATTAATTCTGGTTAAAATAAGAGCATTTTGAAACTACACTTTCAAACTCGAAAACTTTACTACGCGAGAACAAAGAAATGTCTCCACAAGGATACAAATATCAGTATTAATGTTTTAGATGTGCATGTATACAATAAATACATGCGCGTGTTTATGGTGTATATCGAGGACACACATGTGCAACATCATCGATGAATCGAGGACTGAAACCGAATCAAGGACGACTCGGTTGGAAAACGTGTACAAAACCAGAAAGAGCTGTTGCGAAAAAGTTAACGTATAAACAAAGGAAAAGGGAAGAGGAACAAAAGTAAATCCTTGATTAACAACAGATTCATTGGTTTGCATCACAAATCCATTATACCGGTAGGGGAAGTTGAAGAGACAGGCATTTTTTTAAAACAAATTTGTTCCTTTACCATGTGTTTACAGTAAAACAGTTGTCTTGTTCAGGCCCCCCCCCCCCCCCATCCATCTAATGAAAAATCTTGTGTTTGTTTTGATGACACGTCCTGCAAATAAAATCATATAGATGTCTAGAATTTTTTCAATTATGCAATGACAGCAATGTTTGAATAAGGGAATAAATGTGTGCTTGGGAGGTTTTAAACGCAATGTTTACGACAGGTTGGAGTCTTGATGCTTCAGCTTTGGTATGGTACTTATCAGCATCCAGACTCCAACTCGTCTTAAAAAAATTCGGTCCAAAAGTCAAAACAAGTCAAAATTTATAAATTTCAACAATTTCGAGCAACAAAACACCCTTCTGGCTATACATTGGTCAGGCCCTCTGGTCAACAACTCCTACCGTAATAATAATATTGAGATTGACGCTGACGCCCACGTTGCGCGTACTGCGTGATGTGGCGCACAACGCAGATGCACCGGTGTTGTGTGAATTTTGGACTATGAAATAGTGACCCACTGGTAGTATTGCTCATGCCTACTTGAGGATTTAGAACGTTCAACCAATAAAACGGTGCTGGCAAGGGATTTCATAGGAGCCAAAATTTCATGTGACACCGGAAAAGTGTTTAAGACCAGCCAGCCATGTCTTTATCAACCTGTTAAAACAGGCCACGTGACGTGCTCTCGACCTTTATTAACCCTTATCCCTTGAGCACTTTTACGAGAAAGTATCCTGAATCCGCAAATATCCACCTATTGTGTCATGCACAAAAATATTGGTGTTGGTGACTGCGTGCTCAGTATATATGGAGGTATCCTAAATCCATCACAATTCCGCAATGAGTTCCGTGCGCTACCAAAAAAGGGCGCCCTTTTACCTAGCAACAACGTCCCATGGGCGGTACATTTCGCTGGTTGACGCGTACCGTTCCTTGTGTGTGACGCGCATACACCAGGGGATTTGTTCTATGTACACGCAGTGGCCGCGTACCCCCAACTATACTTCCTTTGCCGGTGAGGGGGTACTTGTGAACGGAGCGGATACTGCTAGGCTTACAATCATGAATCCATCAAAATCATGCAGTACGGCTAGGCTTACGATCATGAATCCATCAAAATCCTCTGTTTTCAATATTATATGGAGGTATCCTGAATCCGCTGAAATACCGGTACTCCAAAACAGGGGTATGGATTTTGAGGATTTACATGTAGGTACGTTATTGGTTAATGGGTAAACTGTCTAAGGTATATATGAATGGCAAATACATTGTAAGATGTAAATGTACATTTTGTCTATTTCCCACATTACATTTTTCTCTCCTGTTGGAAATGATTGTTTTTGGATAAAGTAACGTATGATATCTTGCATTGTCTTTTCTGCCCAGATGCCATCAGCATCTGGACCAGTTCATCAATAGCATCCCTCTCCATGTCTCAGCGCTTGTCCTGAATGCTGCTAACTGCTTCATTGTTGCATCAGAGTTGCTGTTTTCCTATGACATGATTGCTGGTAAGATGGATAAACGAGACTATACAAAAGATTAATGAATCACCATTGTGTCCAGATGGGTTAGGTGTTGCCATGGATATCACTTGAATGTCTAATGATCAGTTTGCCAATTGGTGAAATTTCAACTTGAATATGATTGAAACTGACATATTTGAACCTATTGAAAAAATAATAAAGGAGATGTATGATACCGAAATGGTAGAATTAGGTTAGGTTTACATGTACTTGCAGAAAGGGGTAGATAAGCACATTGTATATGCACCGGCACTTGTATTAGTCTGACAGGTACGTACATTGTACACCATTTGTTATTTGTGCATTATGTTTTGAAGCAACAAAAGTGCTCAAAATCTGAAGAAGGGTGTTTAACAACTAACCTGAGTGAATGCTGTATATTCCGAGAAAAAAAAGAATATTCTAGGGTCTCGATCTCGAATTGCGCCTGAATTCATTGCCCAGAGCACGTTCTCAATCAGGTGATTGCAACTCTGAACCTGATGAAGTTTCAGCTGAACTTCAGCTGTATGGGTCATTCCACCGGGTTGGGAAGCAGTGCATGTTACATCCATATATTTGGTTATATTATTAAAATATGCATTCTAAACAATTGCTCAACTTTATATTTGTCTGAGGGTGTTTCAATACTTAAGAAAGTTTGAAATCATTTGAAAGTACGTTGAAAAAAATATGAGCAAAAATGTATTAATTCGGACGTAACATTGACACCATGTCAATGTTTTATCCAAATATTCTTTTTTTGCCATTTTTTACACTTATGTAGAATATTACTCAAACTGACATTGCATATTTACAACTGGACACCTATTGTAAGCACCAAGAAAAGCTTTTGTTTTGGTATAGTCAGGGTTCAAATATAGCAGAAACAATACCTCAAGTGTGGATGTAACGGTGTAAAAATCACTCAATGGAAGTGTGACATTTGGGTTTTGCACTGTGTCAATGTTACGTCCACACAACCAAGCTATCATTTCTGCTCCATTTGATACCTGACAACCGTAACAAAAGCTTTTCTTATTGTGTTGCATGTATAGTTAGAACTACGCAAAGTGAATTTGGGTAATGTTTCGCAGAAATAAAAAAAAGGCACAAATGTCATATTTGGACGGAACACTGACACGGTGTCAATGTTACGTCCAAAATGACATTTTTTGCTCATGTTTTTGGCAAAATACATGTACATTGAAATCATTTCAAACTTTCTGCAGTAGTGAAACACCCAACAGCAAATATTATGTAGAGCAACTGCTAGCAAGGCATTCATGCTTTTCTTAATGTGGTCATACATGTATGTCACACATTGTTCCCCAACCCGGTGGAATGACCCGTATATTTTGAGAAAAAAAAATTCTAGGATATCGATTTCGAATCAAAAGTTGCTGAATCATGTTTTGAAATTGGGCCTGATAATTCAGCTTCAGAGAGACATTCTCACTGAGCCGATTGCAGCTACGCGATGTTGCGCAGCGATCCGACGAATAATTGCAACCGTGCGCATGTGTTCGTCGTGTCAACGCTTTCGCGCGCTTCGCAGTACAAAAAAACCCAAACTACTAACGAAAATTTCCAACGGTGCGTCTTAAAATGCACCGTTGGAAAGGCCTTCTTTCGTTGATTTCTTCAAAATGACAGCTTGCCAGAAAGAATTATTTCACAGGGAGTTTAATTCCCTTACTATCTTTCAACTATCTTTCAACCAATTATGCTTTTCAACAATAATTATGTCAGATACTTTTTGGATACTGTAGCTGCAAATGATGGACTGCAGCTTTAACAGTAAAACTCTTATTGCAGAACTGAACTTTAACTTTAAGCCTGAGATACTTGTCCAGGACTATAGACACAAATCTAGGCCTCTAGATATTGTTTGCTCCAAGGTCAAATATAAGATTGTCTTTTCAATAGCCAGCTTAGGTCACCTAGGGCTGGGTTGTGAAATTTTATTACAGACCAGTATTTCAAATATTACCTTCACTGGCAGTTTATTGACAGTTCTGAAGGTAAAAGTACATGTCCAAGTGAATAATCAAGTCCTTGAAGATTATTACATGTACATGTAGTTTCTGTATCTTGTCGTGTGCGGTGCACTGAGTGAGTAAACATGTTGTTGCCTAATTGTCATGAACATTTCATGAAGATTTGAGTATTTAGGATTGTACTTTATATGTGCATGTAAGCACCGTCTATCAGAATTTTCAATTATCGATATATTAGAAATCCGATATCAAGATAATTGGTATATGGATTATCCAATGTAAACAAATAAAGAACAGGTAAAAACACTACGGACAACGGAAGTTCTTCAAGCAAAAAAAAAAAAAACTTAAGTCCCAATTTTCCAACAACTTTCTCTGCAGCATATTGCTGAAACTTTTGAAATATATCTCAGCACTGAGAGTTTGTCCAGAACAGGCAGGTTTTTCATTAGGGAGATTGCAAATTCCAGCAATCGCTGAGCACATAGCATCGCCGCTTGGCATTTCCTGGTGTTTTTATTTTGAGTCACAAGCACAAGTTGCCGACGAGTTTTTAATTAATTATACAGCAAACGTTAAAAGCACAAGCGGGAGATTTATTTTGAAGATAATCTGGCGCATTTAAATATTTTCGATATCATATCGAAATATAATTTTCGATATTTGGATATGTTAAAATTTGATATCTGTGATATTAATATCAAAATAATATCGAATAATCAAGTAATATTGATATACTGATACATGTGTTGCTGTTATTGTGCTTGATACACTGTCATGACTGTAGGATTATTCCATGTCAAATCACCCAAAAAATTTTTACATTTAAACCCCACCCCCTTCAAATTGGTTCATATTTAGTTTATTGGGTAAGTTAGGCTGAAAAAGCTAACATTTTAAGTTTAAGAGCCGTCGGATAAACGGTTTCTGCGCTACCGCCCGCCATTGTTTGGCAATTTTGGTCAAAATGGGCGTGGCTGCCAATTTTCAAATGACCATATCTCCATAACCTGTAAGCCAAATTTGTTAATCTTGGTTTCTTTTGAAAGGTAACATCATAAGGAATCCAAATTTACCATTATTTTTCATGTCAGGGTTATTTGAAGTATAATGACCTTTTGACCTTTACTTTGACCTTGAATTTGACCTTGTGGATCTCCCAACTTTGAGACGAACTTGGATGAAAATTAAACCCCACCATGTTTTCTACAAAATATCAAAAAAATATAATGTTTTTTGTTTGGTTTCTACATGTAGCTCATGTCAAAGTTGGCAAACGTGTTGCAAAATGTGATATCCCTATGCAGTGTACTAGTGGATTTAAAGTAGGGATTTTTTGTCCCTGAAATATGTTCATGTATTGCTAAACAATGGGGGGCGGAAGCACAAAAACCGTTTGTCCGATGGCGCTAAAACTTAAAATTTCAGCTTTTTCAGCCTAAATTACCCCACATACTAAATATGAGCAAATTTGAAGGGGGTGGGGTGTAACCCATTGGGTGATTTGACATGGAATGACCCTGTATGTATACATACATAAGTTCACAATGTATTTAGATCAAATGACATCCTTGGATGATCATCACAATGACCCCTTGGCCAATTCAGAGAATTATTGCAAATACCACTGGATTAATCAAATGGTCGATGAAGATAACCAATGAATAACTAAACACTAATAATTTGACCAGGGCTGTTGCTTATGGAGTGGTATTTTTTATTTTTTGCTAATTCTATATCAAAATATTTTTTTAATAACGTTTGTCATGTTTCTCAACGAAATGAATGCGGATCATTTAGGGGTATACTATTATCATGGACCTGCCCTGCAACTACCGGAACGTATATATCAGGCATGCAAATTTCCTCAGATCCGCTGATTTCCTTGTTTTTTACTTTTCATGAATGCCATGACAAATTGAAAAACACTGTAGGAATCTTGTGTGGTTTGGAGTTTCCTCGTTTTTTTTTTTTAATTCGCAGTCGCATGCCTGGTATATAATGTATTATAACACCTCACCCACAGATTCTGTGTCTTGATTGGCCGAGAGCGAGTCACATGTTTAACTTTCTAATTTTGCTATCTTTCTGTGCACGGCCAAAAGTACTATACCCGTAGCAACCAAAGTACTATACCATTAGCGACCAAAGTACTATTTCGACGGCGCGGTATTTGTGTGCAAATGGATGCTGGTGTGCGCGTTGCGCATTGTGCGTAGCACGTATTGTTCGAAAGAGAGCGCGCCGCAGACTTGGGTTCAAACATTTCGTGAAGGGGTAATTTGGAAGAGAGAAATACGTTTTCCACCAATTTTGTATTGAAATTGAAGTTTATTTCAACTGTGTTCAGATTTAAATAATTTGAAATATTAAAACCAAGCAGAATCTGTGGGTGAAGTGTTATAAAAGAAATATTGAATGCTTTATCTCGTGGTGAAGTAAAACTAGCCTCCCTCGGTGATCCATGGACCATTCTATTTTCCCTCGGCTTCGCCTCGGGAAAATAGAATGTCCATGGATCACCGAGGGAGGCTAGTTTTACCACACCACTCGAAGCATTCAATATTTGTATACTGGTAAATGTACCGGTATGTATGTTTGTAAAGTATGGTGTCAAATGTCTTAATGATGTAACAATTTGTGTATGTTTTCCTTGAACAGTTGCACCTGATGACAAGAAGATGGTTCTATCAGCGCTGTCTGCAAGCAGCCTGGCCATCTTGTCTCTATTTTTGCTTGAGGTTTGTCTTCAATTTATATGAACATCACATGTACATGTACAAATGCAGCATGCACCAAGCAGTGGGGTACTGTAAGTTGGCCTGCGAGTGCGAGTGGAGCACGGAATAATGTAGTGCGTCTGTGTCCCACATACCACTTGGTCGAAGTGGGACACAGACACTCTACATTTTCCGTGTTCCACTTTGCTGAGCCGAAGGACAATCGGTACCTTAGAATTGGCATGGCAGTGGTTGTCAGATGTTTCATCCCTTAAGAAGGAAGAATGAACATGGCACAGAAATGCTTCAAGTCCATGTATGCAAATGTTTACCTTTCCAAACTCTTGGCCATTCATTGTGTCATATCTCCCTTCTCCCTGTGACCTGATAACAGAGGAGAGGAAAGAAGGTGCGAGGCAAACCCAGTGATGACCTCAGTCAAGCACCCCCCCCCCCCCAGCAAACTGCATTATGAGCCTGGAACTTACTGCTGATTTACCTCCTAAAATTTAAACAATATGTATTGCTCTAAAACAACTTTTTTTTTCTCTTCAAACATTTTCAACTGAAATATGTTTTACTTCAACCTCAAATTTTTTTTTCGTTGTTGGAGGTCTGCAACCAAAGAAACCTTTTGTGTTTGGGCACAAACAGATACATGTACAATGTATACTGATTTTGCAATGGGAATCGGCCTGGCCTGCGAAAACAGAATTATTATCTGGCAGCCAATAATTCAGTAAATAAGCATGGGCAGATTTGTTTCAGTTGATGCCTCATTCAAAGATCAATATTGTTAGAAAAATAGCAATTTAGAAAAGGAATCTATTTTTGGGGATGAAACTCGAAAGTAGCGCGGGGAATGCATCTTTCAAGTTTTGTGGTGACATTGACCAAGCATATACAAAGTGTACAATAGAGCAAGTTTGAATTTTTTTCACATGCAAAATGAAATGTCATTATTTATTATGATCTGTGCTGCACAATGAGGTTTCCTTCCTTGACCTGACTACACTTTGTTGTGACAGTGATAAATTGACCTTTACATGCTATATTTGTAGTTTATATGCCCTTATAATGATGTTGTTTTGGTGAGTCTGTTCAGTGATGACTTTGGTATGGCAGCCAACAATTAAACTGAAGTACCACACAGTGTCTCGCCTCATTGCACACAGAGAATTTGAGTCTGTCTTTCCACGGTGTCCGCCCAAGCATTTAAGCTGTTAGTCCCACACAGTTATTCGGGTCATTCTATACATTTTTGGTCCAAATTTTTGGGTGACATAACATTTTGTAAATTCAGAACACAATCTTTAATGCTTTCTATCTCAAAGAGAGATTATGTAATGCAAAGTACCTGCTAAGCAAATAAAAATAGTTAGCGGTCAATTTCAATGATACTTCCATGTCAAATTACAAATCTACGATATGTGTACTTGCTCTAAGTCATGATTATTTCAGAATTGAATAACTGGAGGCGATGGTGGCACAAATTCAGGGGGTAAATTCAATTACTACACCTCATAAATATTCATGATCAAATTGAAACGCGTCATTGGCCAATTCCGCCGCGCGTCCGGGAAATAAAAATGATACGCGCCCAGGTGACATCATCCCGATGAGTATCCAGCTTGCTGCCTTGCGGTAGTTTTTTTCTGGTAGCACCAAAAGTTCCCTCTGGAACCCGCCTCGTAGACATGCAGTCTATGACATGAAATCTTTACGGAACCAGTCTGTTGTTCCTTGTTAACTGCAGTAAAAACACATTGTGTTGGCACTAGTGACAAAGAACTTGAATTGTGCTGAATAAATATGCAAAATCTAGGAACGCCGTTATTGACAAGGCAGTGAGGCTACTAAAAAGACAGTGAGGCTACTAAATATTTATGAGGTGCAGTAAAACAAATACAGCATGGTTTATTTCTGGAAAATAGTTAGAATTGCTTGTCCCTCGGTGTGGATCAGCTTGACTACCCCCTCCATTTCATGTCGGGAGGTAGTCAAGCTGACCTACACCTCGGGACCAGTAATTCCCACTACTTCCCCTCAAATCATGCTGTATTTGTATACTCCCCCCCCCCCCCCTCACATACCATTTACGTGGAGCCTCAAAAAGGAATTGAGCTGTTTCGGCAGTCACACAGAAATCTTTTACAAGGTGAACAATAGAATTCCAGATTACAGTAGATACACAAGTACATGTCTGTTTGTACATGTACACCTGGGATTATGGAAAACGATCATGACGATGAAAGGCAGGACAATTTGAATTATAACCCATGCACAAAGCATCAAAAAGTTTTTAACATTTTTTAATTATAAAACTATTTTAGGAAATGACAACATCCGTGCAATGTCTATAAGGAGAATTCCCTACTACATGTACCTTTGATATATACAGTAGTCACATAAACAACTTGAGCGACATCAAGCATACTGGGGTGGGAGTAAAACCACCGTGCACATTATTGTACATACATGTATACATATATTGTAGATGACATGCAGCACTGTGCTTGACAGACAGCGTCTAGCCAGCATCAAACTCTGTGCCCTCATAGAACAATTGTTTTGGGATATTTTTAGGAAAGTTGCTAAGAAAGTAGAACTCAATACACAGAATGGATCTGATCTGCGTCTACAGTGTAAATGTTGTACATATTAATTTGAATGTCAATTTCCCATCTACTTATTTAGGTTGTGGTTAGAGTTTTCAGCATGGGAGCCCACTTCAGAAGGAGAAAGCTAGAGGTGAGATGCTGGGTTCTTTTTGATGCTACAACCTTGAATATGTCACACATACACTGTATAGCAATGTACAATGGCCAATTAAAGAGGTTGTGGAATGCTCGAAGACATTTCCGTCATTTTTCGGTTATATGTAGCCTAAGGTGTGATGAAATAAAAACGACTATTGTTTCTGTCATAAAATGAGTACAAAAGGTACTTTTGAGAGCTGTTTTTCAAGTCCTGTCATGCCTGTTTCGACCCGAACGTGCAATTTGTGTAAAAGTCGTCGTTGCGGGCAGCAAACAAAACACAGTAAATCGTGACGTGATAAACAGGACTCCCGATGCAGAATAGCATAAACGAGTCCTGTTTATTACGTCATGATTTACTGTGTTTTGTTTGCTGCCCGCAACGACGACTTTTACACAAATTGCACGTTCGGGTCGAAACAGGACCTGAAAAATAGCTCTCAAAAGTACCCTTTGTACTCATTTCATGACAGAAACAATAGTCGTTTTTATTTCATCACACCTTAGGCTACATACATGTATACCCAAAAAATGATGGAAATGTCTTCGAGCATTCCACAACCTCTTTAAGTCTATTGTAACGCAATGCATAATTGTTCCATATTTAAAGAACCTTATGTGCAACATTTGCATGCTGCAGTTAGTCTGAATTGTTAAAATGAACCACTGAGCAACTGGATTAAGCAAATTACTTGAATTCAAATGCACGAAAGTTAATTTGAATGCTGATTTTACAACATTGGCTGAGGAAATTTACTGGTGGCTATCAGTTTCTGGCCAATACGTGCATTTGAATGGAAACAGACGTGGGCCTAACTTCATGGGGCTGCTGAGCACACAATTTTCTGCTAACACAGCCTATTTCTATTTCATGGAGACCGTAAGCAGTAAGCACATCAAAAGGCACGCTTAGCTAAGAGGAAACGGGTGCTTAAATCAGTGACGTAACGATAGAAATCTCCATGCGAGTGCAACCGTTAACACATCCACGCCATGAAATATTGCTTAATGTTAGCACAATTTCTGCTATAGTAAGCACAACTTTTCTGCTTACTGTTAAGTAGCGCCATGAAATTGACCTTTGTTGTTTATTAATAGAGAAACTACTCGTGCAAAAACAGGTTGATAATATTTGCCCATGGACCAGAACAAACCTTCCATGCAAATCCAAGCTCTTATAAGATGGAATTTTGCGTTGGGGTGATAAAAATCAAATTAGGTTTTGCCCTTCACCGACGTTTTTCAACACTGTATACTCAGTGTGATACCTCCCGAGTGAAAGTTGGGAAAAAAATGCAAAATTCCATCTTATAATAGTTTATGCGGTACCCGCTGCTATGTACATCAGATTCGAACCGGCCAACCGATCCCGTTAGCTCGGTGGTCGAGTGGTAAGACATCTGCACTAGAAAGCAGGAGGTCGTGGGTTCGAGTCCCACCCGAGTGATTTTTTCCAACTTTCACTCGGGAGGTAACACACTGAGTACACAGTGTTTAAAAACGTCGGTGAAGGGCAAAACCTAATTTGATTTGAAATCCAAGCTCAACAAATCAAAACATGTGGAAGCAAAACATCTGTGCTGAAGCCTAAATCTCCGTTTAATCAATGGCCAGATAACCTGATTTTGGTCCGATCTTCTTTCTTATTGCAGATATTTGATGCCTGTGTTGTCCTCCTGACATTCATCCCAGACTTGGTCTTTTTCGTCATCCAGCTTCAGGACAACTACATTTGGTACCCATTCACCAGAGCCTTCTCCTTCATTGTTGCCCTGCGTATGTGGAGATGTTGGGGCATTCTGCGTGGTTAGTTGGTTCACATGCTAATCATTATCGGTTTGATCATTTGATCTCCACTGACAACGGTTTGAAATACCATCTGGTAAATCATACGGATTGTCTTCATCAATCCTTACATGACAACTCAACTGCACATTAAACATGTAAAGCAATCGGCTGTGATGGTTCATGTAAAAAATACAGGAGCTAATCAGAGAGCAAGCTATGTGCGTGTGGTACTGTCCACACAGACCAGAGTAATATACAAGGGTCAGAGGATATTTTAATTATTGATAGCTTACAGCTACAGTTTGATAGGGCAGGGCAAGTGGCCTTGCGCGCAATTTCTGGCTACATTTTGGTACACTAGCAAGCACGGCACCCGCTAGCTGGGTGGAGTCGTAAAGCCCACAATTGACTTTTTTTGAGAAGGGGTTCGTTGTGCAGTCAGGTTTCGAAATGCTTACATATTCATATTGTACGAATTTGCACAATCGACGGTTAAAGGGTTATATACTAATGTATTACTTTGACCTCAATTTGCATGTTGACCCCAAGTGGGTGTGCTAAACCCTGGTGAAGCAATTTTGCCACACTTTTAATCATCAATGGTATGTTTTGCGTAATAGCGATATGTTTTGGAGTGTTTTCATCGAGATAATGTAATATTTCACTGTGCAAATTGTCAAAGAAAGAAATTTGCCAAAAAAGCAAAACAAGACAATTAAATCTTTTTTTTTTTTCACATACCAACCGTGACTTCAGAGGACAAATTGGAGCATAGGACCTGCACACTTGATACCTCTCCATTAACCCTTGCATTTTGCACTTCCACTCACTCCTTTTACATGTACATGTACAAGAAACATGACACACAGACAGACAGCGTAGGATCTTTTAATAGAGGATACTCTGAAATGCTTGAGTTGAACTCTCCCTAAGAACGTTGTTTCTCGTCTCCCTGTCTCCAAGTGTTGTTGTGTTTATTCATCAACGTTGTTAGTTTGACATCTTACAATCCATGTTGAGATGTGACCACCCCCTTTCTACTTGCTCATGATAAATCCGTTATTTTCTGGAAATTTACACATAAAGTATTCCACTCTCCAAATAGGATCTAAGTCACATTACGCATTCACATGCAATACATGTAGGTTGTTCATTATGCAGAATGTGGAAAAATCTCACTTTGTCGACACACTTTGATAATTTTATTAACAATAACTGGAATAAAGTTCACATTTTGGTTGCTGCAGTACTATAATTGTCTTCTGCACAGGCCATTTCATCCTTACTGCTTGTTTAATCTTCAAATTATAGTTACACGGTTGCTGATTATATTGTGTCATATGCCATGAACAATACATGTTGTGGAGGTGCAACATATGTCAACCATATTTAAAACCCATTGGATGAACTTGGCAATTTCTAGATGCCTTTGATCAGAGCAGGTCAGTAATGTGTTTTGGGGAATTTGTGTCTTTGTAGGAGAGAAGAAGCGAGTGAGAGAGGAGTCGGCGTGTGAGTTAGAGATGGAGAAGTATGCCAGACGACAAGCAGAAGCCCAAGCAGATGCACTGCAGGCTCAGTGTGACCAGCAGCTGGTAAGATAATCAGCTGTATTCTATGCAGTGTTGTCATCAAGTTCTGTCATCCAGTACATTTCCATGAATACAAGCACTTTAGTATGAGTATGAGTACCTTGCCATGAGTACGAATATGAGTACCTTTCCAGGAGTATGACTATGAATACAGGACAATTGGAGTGTCAAAAGTCATGGAGTGTCATGGCCTAGCGGTTAAAGGGAAAATACAACATTTGCAAACATCAAAAAATAAATCTACCAAATAATTAGGAAATATCTTGCTGGACTGTTAGTGAATGACAGTGTAAAGCATCCTGTAAAATCATGGCCCCTGGTGTACTGTCATTTTCAAGAAAAGTGGTATTTTGTATCAATTTCCAACGCTGGTCGGCCGACCAGCGTTGGAAAAAACTGGCTTTTTTCAAATACTTGTCCCAATTGACCATATTTAGTTCCAAGTCTGCACTTGTTTGCAATCGATTACACACCTGTGAATGGGTACAAGCCAGCCAGACTGGTTCCCTGACCTTACAATTCCCCAAAAACTATATATTGCTCAGTTTCATCTTAAATGGGGTCAGGGAACCAGACTCCAGGAAAATGATTGTTTTTATTGCATCTACGAACCCAAAACGTCAAAAACGTCAGTGTAACAATATTTGCTATAAAATACTAACCCCCCAAATCCATCCATTTCTGAAAATTACAACAAAAGCAAATGATGTATATTCCCTTTAAGAACACCGGACTCATGTTCTGGTGTTTCAGAGGCAACAGTTGACGTGGGTTCGAGCCCGGGCCCTGACACTTGAGCCCTTAAGCAAGGCACTTAACCATTAATGCTTCGTCCTTCGGATGGGACGTTAAGCCGGAGGTCCCATGTGTTGTATAAGGCGTAACGCACGTAAAAGAACCCAGTAACATTTTATCGCTAAGAGAAGGAGTTTGCCCCAGTGTTTCTGGCCTTGTGGAAGTCCTTAGGAGAAGATCCAACGAAGTACCAAGTATAAGTACATTTTGTTAAGAATGAGTACAGGTATGAGTACTTTCCATGAGTACTTTCCATGAGTACAGCACATTTCTATGGGTACTTATTTTCTTAAGGGCTTGTTGCTGTCAAACTGGGTATTAGATAATATGCAAAAGCCTCCCAAACAGTACCTCTTAAAAAGATTTACAATTCCAGTAGGAGACCATTTCTATGAGTAAGAGTATAAGTACATGTCATTTTTATCTTGCAAGTACTAGTATGAGCTTTTTCTCTCGATTTAAGCCTGTTAATAAGTCCCTGGCAACACAATTCATACAACTTTGCTTTGATTGGTCCATATCCGCAAAAGCCTGAAACAAAGTGGCTGAATTTTCCCGTTTGGATTCTTGTAGTTGTACCTCCAGTTTAAAGGTTTTTATTGATCGTGGAAATCGGGTTTTTTTGATGTCTCAGAGAAGCAATGGACCGATCCAGTAAGCACCGCCCCATGGTATTCTGACCAATCACAGTGATTTATGTCCAACATGCGTGCACAAAAGTCCGACATGCGTGCACGCGCGTATTATGCGCGCGGCAGGAAAATGCAGTGTGGCATTGGAGAGGAGCACGTGTTAATTTGCCCACGTGCGCAGTGAGAGGGGCTTACTGGATCGGTCCATTGTCTCAGAGGAAGCATTTTGAGACAGGATTGAGAACAACAAAGTGTGTAACTAGTCACCTAGCAATTCTTTTAAACGTGATTTATTGCAGAAAGAGATTGCGTATCTGAGAGACTTCCTTCACCAGAATAATCTGGATCCAGACACAACAAAGCTGGACTTTGTGCCAAACTACCGGACTAGTGCCTCCATATCCTCAAGTGCAATTGACTACGATAAGGCCGACACACTCAGAGTGAATGGCAAACTCAGCAAAGGTGAGGACAGGCCAACGACCTCCTAGCTCCTTAGATTTCATTACTTGCTTGCATGTTTCATCCTTTCTTGTAATTTGATGCAGTAAAGTACAATTCAAGTCAAGCACAGAAGTTGCATGCATTGTATATGACTTTTATTTGACCCCTCAACAAGCAAAGAAACTGCCTTGATTGGCTGGCTGGCCTGTGTATCTGGCTCAGAGTCCAAACTCTTGCAGTGAAAAGTGCTGATAATCCATGAACTTTTGTATCAAACATGGTTTTTCGCCTCGGGTGCTATGCGCCCTTCGGGTGTTCAAAACGTCATATGCCACATCACAGCAGTCAACAATTGTTTTGTTATACCTCTGTCTTGGATTCTTTAGATTTTGATGTTAAAGTCACGAAAACAAACAGCAGTAAACACAACAATCATGACTATCGAACCTCAACTCACATGCATGTCGCGCGCTCGAAACAGCTGATCGTCTGCTAATTCACTGATCCCACTCATGTGTGAAAACATGGTGAAAATAGCGCGGGTACCAACGATACAAGCATTTCACACCGTGTACTGTACGTACAAAGTCATAGCACACTCCCTGTGGGATATCACATACGTGATATCCCACAGGGAGTGTGCCATGACTTTTTATAAACTTAACACATGATCGTTCTAGGCCAATGAAAATACAGTATTCAAGACAGAGGTATAACAATTGATGATTTGAAGCAAAAGGCCATATCCTGTCTGAGTGATCCCTGTTTGCTCTATCTGAGGTTTACATCATTGTTCATGTTGATCCCTGGCAGCATGACACATACAGGCGTATGGCACCTGCCCAGTACCACTCATGAACAAACCCATTGACATGTTGAGAAGCCACCAACATAGGGCTGGATAACTCTGTATGTGGAGTGTTTGTGGGATGCTGTGGTCCAATGGTTACAGAGTTTGATTTGTGTGCCGTGGTACATGAGTTCGAATCCTGACCGTGGGAACATGGTGCTTGTGCTCTTGAGCAAGGCACTTTACCATTATTGCTTCCTCCTTCGGATGGGACGTAAAGCCGTAGCTCCCGTGTGTTGTGTAATGCATGTAAAAGAACCCAGTAACACTCATCGCTAAGAGAAGGGGTTTGCCCCGGTGTTTCTGGCAGTGGCTGCAATATGCGCCGCAGCACCTTGTCAACCCTTATAAGGTGCTACATAATGGGTCTCATATTTCTCATATACTTTATTTACCTTTCTTTAATAATAGACATAATAACCAGCGCCTTGAGTACCTTATTGTTGGTAGATACGTGCGCTATATAAGACTCCGTTATTATTATAGTAAAGCACCATGCTCCACAAGTTCTAGGCTCAAATCCCTCCCTTTGGAATTTTTTCTTCTTTTCAACTTTCTATTGACTATTTTTTTTTTTAACTTTCCAGTTTCTCTTTGTGAATTTATGGAATGTGACAAACTATTACAGATGTTCTTTTCAATGTTTCTGTTTTGCCTCAAACCCAGATGCTTCATTAGACAGCATCGCTTCATCCACCAAGGACCTAGCCACATCCATATCCTCCACCCAGAACATCTACAGTGAACCGCCAACTCTCAGTAGCTCTGCTCCTAGCGGCTCCCCTGCACTCTCAAGCAGCTTGCAACATGGCAACCATGCCAATGAGCAATTCGCCTCGGCGGCTTCCAGGCAGATTGTCCAAGAGGCCATCTCTGAGGTCCGGCAGGAGACGTCCTCACCCAGCCACGAGGGCCTGTCTAACGCTGGCTTCATTCATGACGGAGAAGGGCAATCTGGGGGCCTGTCAACAGTCACAGAGAGAAGAGCGCTTGAAGATGAGATGAACAGAGGCGTGACAAATTTAGCTTTTGAGGGAGACACACAAGAGCCATGCAGCTCAGGAAGCAGCGTGAAAACAGGTGAAGAGCCTTCAATCACTGTCAAAGCATCTGATAATTTTTTTTTGGCTGATTTAATTAGGGATTGACATCTATCCTGCTGATAGCATTATATCCTCCATACTGTTTTTCAGGGTGAGTAAAAAAAACACCAAACTCAAATGGCAGGACCCATTTTTGAATGAAGTTTTGCGTGTAGCACTTTCAAAATCTACGATATGAAAGCCCAGTCATTAAGCTTTCTTTTAGTACAAGAATCATTCAAATCACTCATGTATACTTTTCAAGTTACGGAATTTTGAACACGACGTTTTAAAGTTCTTTCCTGGATTACAAAAACAGTAAGTGTTCTTTCAGCAAAACTAAAACAATTCTCATAGGGATGCAGGTGAATTGTTTTTGTTTTGTTAAAAGAACACTGACTTTTTTGTGATCCGTGGACAAAACTTTAAAACGGTGTTTGTGTTCAAAATTCCATAACTTGAAAAAGTACATGAGTGATTTGAATGATTCTCATACTTAACGAAAGCTTAATGACAGGGCTTTCATATCCTAGATTTTGAAAGTGCTACAGGCAAAACTTCATTCAAATTCCATCGGGTTTCAGGGTTTTTTTTACTCACCCTGTATTGTGTTAACTGAAAATGTCCCTCACAATCAGCAGCTTTCCTAGAATAAATTTAAGAATAAAATCATGGTACTTTACTGATGCAAAGGGCCATTAGTTTGCCATAGGTTCAAGCCACAGGCACGTCTTTGAACTTTTGAGGAAACGTGATTGTTTTGAGCTTTGTCTGAGTCAAGTATTGGCAGTTGTGGTTGAGAAATGATAAGACAATGTGCCAAATATCTGTAGGCTGTGGTTTGAGTTTGTCTTAGTATTCACAGTACGTTAAGGAGAATACACGAGAAAGTGTGGATTCGTAATTTAAGAATCCACACTTGGGAGTGTATTCTTTGACTTAAACCATTGCGTCAAAAGAAGTATTGTCATTAACAGTCCAGTGAGTGGAGATGAAAAGACTTGCATATCTCGTGTCGAGTTGTGGCCATTAGGGTAATTTACAAGGGAGTTTTTCGAGGCTTTATACGTAATCAAGCATTGTGGCGTGTTTAGCATGTGTGTCGCCACACCCCTACAACCAAGTCATTTTGTGCGTAGGCTCCTTCCGTCAACATGGATAGTTCAGACGATGATTTCTTTCCGACTCAAAGTAGGTTTTGCAGTGACGGCGGAGAATCTGACAGTGAAGATGCATTGGTAATTTCCGAATCGTAGTTCCGAATCCACACTTTTAACAAAAGTGTGAGATGAGACCATAGCAATGGTTTAAGGATGTTTCTTTCTGTTATGTTACGGTCAGATTCTGAAGGTGAGAGTGAAGCCCAGCTGCGGATTGAGTTGGATGAGATAAGAAGACTGTCTGACGAAGCCTTGCAATCTGAACTGGCAACCAACACTACAGAAGTGGTAACAATTCTCTATTCATTCCTAATAATGCAAACACTCTTGATAATTGGTGCTAGTCTGTTTTTGACAATGTATTATGTTGACTTGCACAACACTCCCTCTCTGGCTGGCAAATTCTACAAAGCCAACTTAGCTGTCAAAAAATCAGTCAAGTGACTGTTTTTTAACAGTTGAGTGCTGCCTGCCTACATAAAGCAGGATTGACTGGCTGTGACTGTTTATGTAACTTCATACAACTATACCTTGACTGCAGGAGATTGATAAGCCAGCTGTAACTACCAGTTACTTGATTTTGTCTTTTAAATGAATTTGACTTGTCGCAGTGCCTACCAGCAATATGATCTGACTGCTGCCCACTAGCCTGTGTTTAAGTTATGGCAGGGGAAGTGGATTGAATTTCTGACTGACTGTGACTGATCAAACAGAAGGAGGGTTTTAGAAAAGTTAATTCATTTGCCCTTGAGCATTAAACTGATGTCTTGCCATGATGACTGATAGCCAGGCAAATGATTCCAATCCCAACTGCAGCCCTTTTCACAACATGAAGGATTTTGAACACCACTTACTTGACACAGCACTGAAATTGAATAAGGCAAGGAACTTGGTCACATTGTCAAAATGTTGTGATCAATTGACAGTTGTGTAGTGACGCATGACTGGAATTATGTGAAACTCATAGGGGTATCTGCACAATCAAACAATTTCAAAATTGACCTCATGGTTTTGTAGGAATTTCAAAAATAGTCAGACGGACACATTTTTGGGACATACTGTAGTGCCCCTGAATGCAGGTACTGGTATTGGCAAATACCGGTGTGAGCATTCAGGGCCATTGTCATAGGCCAAAGCTGGTCAAGTTAGCTTTCCCGAGTTCATATTTGATGCGATCAAGCTAAATGAGTCTTTTGTCGGGAACTTTCATTTGGAGATTCAGGCCAAAATAGGGCCACTTCATCACATCACTTCATCACATCTCTTGGTGTTCCGACCTCCATAATTTTTGAACTAAAGATGATATCAGCATGCGGTGTTACAGCAGTAATGCTGACATTGTGCTCTTTTCAAATCTGTAAAAAAAAAAAAATTGACCAGGGTCGACAAATGACTCATTTAGCTCGATCACATCACATATGCTCTCTAAGCTAGTTTCGTTGTTGACTCTATTATTTTTTGTTCTTGTAGGATGGGGTCCCCACGACGTCCCTGTGAACAACATGTTGTAAAAGACAACAGTCACTATAAACAACCAAAGAATGTGAAAAGTACTTGGTACTTGGTGGTTATCCTCTTCAGAACTCCTCCAGGAAGTGGAAGAGGTAAAAGGTATTGTATAAATAAAAGAAGCGCCAACAGCGTTTGGATTCCATTGTGTGCCTGAATTGTTTTGTACACGATATTCAGCTGATGTGTCATTGTATTCCTGTGTGCCGAACCGTCAGTGTGTGTCGCTTGAAAAGTCTCCATAAGCTGGGGTATAGCAACACGGAAGAAGCACATAAAAAGTTGAGTGGAACGTTTTTATTTGAATGTTTGGTTGTGTATTCCAAGCAAGATGTCTTCAACGTCGTGTTTATAAGTACTTTAGTTTAATTTATTCCTTCCATGGTTGTGTTATCTCCGTTCTACCCTCGGACCCAAGAAAATTGATACCTTATGTACCTGTTTATAAGAGAATTATCAGCGTTTAGGAATTATTCAAAAAGTGGAGAATGATTATAAAACTCAACAAATGTTTGTTTTATTTTATCATCTTCCATTTGACATGTAATTCTGGGGGTTGGTATACAGATAATGAATGTTTATGAGTGTAATGGTGAGAATATTTTCATGAGTTGAAAGATTTCGCCTCGTTGAATGGAACATTCCATCTTTCAACGAATGAAAACATTCTCACCATGGCAGAAATGCGAAACATTCATTGTTTGTTTTATATAACATCTAAGTAGATCTTTGTCATTCGATTGGAGGATAACACCTTAAGAACAAACAAAACTCACAAAATTGTTTTATATCCACTACTTTTTTCAGCTTGTTTGAGGATAACAATTAAGTTTTAAAAGTCAAATCATTTTATGAAAATTAACATTCTAAGCTCTTAAAACAATGCAAAAATCATCAATGCAACTGCATCAACTTCAAAGGCAAATTTTCTACTGCTATAACGCATGCTATGGTCTAAATAGCGCAAAGATCGTATAGCGCTGGGCCACTGCGTGTCTTAGTGTGCGCGCGGCGTGCAATAGATCAAAAGGGATGGGACGAAAATGCACGGTGGATGCAACCAAAAATGCACGGTTATGACGTAGGCCGTGCAATGGATGCCGCGTGACCTACAATCCTCCAATCAAATGACAAGGATTTCCTTGGGTGTTATATAAAATGGTATATACATTACATGCTGTAAGTAAAACATTGGATATATAAATAGTATTGCGTATAGACAGTTTTGAGAAGCCAAAATATCAATTGTCTTTGTGCTTATGTAGTTGCAATGCTAAGTCTAATCCGTTAATTTGTGTGTGGTCTTAAGAAACAAGTATAGAAAGTGCCTGATCAAACATACAGAATCCAACATTGGTAGTTAGCTTTTGACGGATACAATGTGCTTGTGGCTTGCTCTACAAGCACACATGCAATTGTAAAGTTGATCATAATTTGAACTGTCATAGTGCAAGCATGTTGGCCTGTGTAAAGTAAGTATCATTCATGAGGGTGAATTTGGAACTAGTTAGACAATGTAGATTAGAACCAGACTCTTTCTCTTTATTTGAGATAACTCTTTATTTTGGTTGCATTGGCTTTGTTTATATTTGGGTTGGTACAGTTTCAGCATGCAATACTGCTAGTTCTTGCCTGTTAGAGTAACTATTAATTTATTAAGAGAGGTGCTTGTGTGTCCTAAAAAAAATTCATCACGCCGTAGTCTAGAGTATGAAGCAACAGTATGTGTCAAAGTTTGGTTTCGTTTTCTAAAAAATTAGGGGTTAACTGTGAATGTGTGTACTTGTTACCCGTGGCAGCTTCTTTAGAACATGCAGAGGGAAAAAAGAGGGGAAAAAACAGAAAATAACCTGATAATCCAAAGTAACCCATTCATGTCTACAATATTATTGGTAATCAAAAGAGCAGTTTTTGTAGGCAAGTACGATTTCACCTTGTCCTTATTCAGAGTATATTCAGCTTTGTCTTCAAGTGAACTTGAATCCTTGATCCTTATTGGTCGATCCATGGCAACACGCCGTGCTACATATAACCATGTAGCATGGCCACGGTCCATACGCACTCTGCATATCAAGAGGCGCGCGTCGTTCCTTACAACACGCATGTGCAATAGGATAACCGCTGAAAAGTTCATGTGAGTTGTGGGTGTTCCATCTTCACTGTGCTTTAAGTTTGCTTGAAGATAAATTTGTTGTCCCACGGGCACTTGTGAAACACGCGCGAGTAGTGCCTCTGCGCCCCACATACCACTCAGCCTTCGGCCTCGTGGTATGTGGGACACAGACGCACTACAGTATTCCGTGTTTCACTCGCGCTCGCCGGATAACTAATAGTATTCAATTGACATTCCGTGTATTTAAGTATTCAGATGGAACTGTTTGATACCAGTTCACCGCAAGTATAATCCCTTAAACTTTGAGTTGTTTCTTTTATGATATTTATGATTTCCAGATGTCAGCACATGTACAGGAAAATTCTCATATTTCACTTTTCATTTGTCTCTACACAGATCCACATATAAAAGTGAAAACATTTTGGGGGAATTGCCCTGAACATTACTCCACCAATGTATAGTACATGTACTTGAAGCTATGCAGATTGATTCATTTCATGTGTGGTCTTCTTGGTGTCAATCTGTGCTCATTGTGTTATCTAGGTTTGGTTTTGAGGGGAACGTGAGCTACAACAAAAATTAATATTCCAAACACAGATTTGTATTTGATTATAAGTTTTGTTAGCGGATATATATATTCCTTACAACATTTGTAAATTATTGTTATATATTTGTATAAATTGGGTTGTTCATAATAAAGAATCACTGTGAATTGAAATGCAAGAAATTTAATAATTTAAATCTAACACTTGAGTATATATTCAGCAGAGCTTTATAATGATGGCAATGAAGGTTTATTGACTATACAAAGTTTAAATGTTAGGTAAAATAAGATTATTGTAAATGTTCACGAAGAGGAAATTAATTCTGGGAAATATATCTTGCACTTGATTGCACATTATTCGATCCCATAGTGATGTTAAAACACTTGAGTGGTGGTAAAGAATTAAGCTGTGTACATTTCTTTTGTAAACACAAGCAGACAAGGTCCCAAAAAGGATATTATATTGATTGAATAGTCAAATGTTTTTCACTCTCTCTCTCTCAAGGATTTATTTCTTCAAAGGAGAGATATAAAATTTCATGATAAATGTCTGTCCAGCGGAGGCCATTTTTGACAATGTTTCAAATTTTAGGGAACACATAGTCAGGTGGCTGATCGACTTGTCCAAAGCACCAAAAGTACGGCAGATAGGTGATAGGATTGTGCCTTTGATGATACAAGCATAGCGTTTGACACACAGTCAGATTAAGTCATGAAAAAGGTATTTGGCTGTAGGGCCATCGCAGATTTGTCCTTTGAAAAATTTAGGTAGAATAACAAGCAATGGCAGCCATTTTGAAAATTCTGACAATTGCTTGTTGTTTTACCTATATTTGTTCAAAGGACAAATCTGCGATGGCCCTATAGCCAGATATCTTTCTTAAGACATACTCTGTGTGCCAAATGCCATGTTTGTATCATCAAAGGCACATTTCCCCCAAATATTTCCCCTATCTGCCCCACTACAAAGAGGTCTTGCCAAACCTCAGTAATGATGAGCTTCAAATTTACAAAGTTATTTACTGACACGGCTACCCTAATAGAACTATGTGGATATCCATTTATATGAACAATGATAGCAGCCTGAAAAAAGCAGAAAAGGGGGAAGGTGGTGTCCGGAAATTGGGCTAAAAATTAGGCCAAGGGGTTGCCTAACTTGGCGGACTTGAACAAGTTCAAAGAAATCCCCCAAGAGATTATGGTTGTTTATAATACGTTAATGTCAAAACTTTTCTTACAGGTAAATTTGGGGATTTCTTTGAACTTGTTCAAGTCCACCACGTCAGGCAACCCTTGGCCTATTTTTTATTTCAGTTTATGGACACCTCTCCCCCCCCCCCCCCCCCTTTTGCTTTTGGGCTAAATACCATGATGCTATCATTGTTCACATGATTTTCCACACAGTTCAGTTTAGGGTAACTGTGCCAGTTAGTAACTTTGTGAATTTGAAGCTTATCAATACAGAGGTTTGGCAAGACCACTTGATGAAATCTAGGGAAAAGATAAATGTGCGCAACTTGGGGGTATCTGTCCTACTGCAATTTGTTTTATGTGTTCATGTATTTGACCACCTACAACAGTGAAGTATAAATACCAATTTGGTCTTAATATGGCACTACAGATTTTGTAATTAAGTTTATGTGTCTCATCTCTTTATATTTTTGGCATATCACGCGAATTTAATAGGGAAAAGGGACAAATGTAACTTTTACGTGAATGTTGTCCGTTAGAATAATCAGTATAATTCACACGTAACAATTGTAAGAGTTTGGTACATATAATTCCGTTGTCAAATTATAAGGTAAACATTGAATTTATTAAAAGAGAGAGACAAAAATACGGTCGGCTAAGACGTCTTTGTTTAATACATTCCATCAGGTACATGTTCTAGTTGTGGAAAAAGTACCTCAGTGTGAGTACTATTAAGTCTAGTGTGTAACGAGGTTGGAGTTCATTTCATGAAGAATTGTGCATTGCAGTGTTGCTTCAGTACTAAATAAAACTGATCGGATATGCCATGGTGTTTGTATTCAGTGTGTTCTTGGATTGTGATGACATTTGAGGGGTGTTTCCCGCCAAGGATGATCACCCCTTCATGCAGTCACGAAGCCCATCGCCAGGGACCCAGGGAGAACAGTTCTTTGATAACTGATGGGGCTACCCTGGTAAGATAAAACGTTATTAAATTTTAAAAACTCGAAAAATGATGCCTCCACTCCATTGCAAAATAGAGCGACTTTCGGGTCTCATGTCATCAAAAATCTCAGAAATACAAGTTCAAAGACCACGTTAGAACTGGCACCCTTCATTTCAGGGCAGGGGCCACGAAATTCTCTATTAAGAGAACAATTTAAAGTTTTGCGCCTTTTTACTGGTACGGTCTGTACTCCTGAATAGATTCTTCCGTCAGGGTGCAGACCTGTAATAGGCCCGAAATTGCCTACGCCGCCGAAATCACGATTTGTTTGCCCTCGCATTATCCGGTATTAAAGCATTTTCAGGGCCGTGAACTTGAGGATTTGTAAAAAAGAAGGGTTTTGTAAAAAAAGAGGACTACGAGCTCGTATTAGTGTAAAAAGTGCTTTTTTTGCAATGGGGCGTATAGGCGGTCCGTTTTCAAAATGGCGATGGGCTCGGACCACTTTTAGGGGTGATCATCTTTGGATCGAATTTTCTCCCAAAAGTCATTAGTTACCCCCCCCCCCCCCAAAAAAAAATGGAACAGAAAATAAAATATGAAGAAATGGGCTTTAATTTGATGTCTATCGCAAACACCTTGGAGAGTTGTGAGTACTTTTAATATTTTTGGGAAGTGCGCGAAATTGTCATTGAGGTCTATGTAAGTCTACTTACTGGTCTGCACCCGTCAGAGGTCCTGATTTTAGTGCGCAGCGCCCTCTGGCCTACAGGACGTACAGTGTCTGCTGAAAACGGTAGATATTGATTTGTGTCTTCGAGGTTTCAAAGGAATTTCGGTAGTAACGATATTGTCCCCATTAATGTAATGTTCCGACTCGAATCGCGCTATTCGCTTTTACCCTCCTTCCATCTAGAAAAGAAAATGGGGGAAAAAGATGAGCCTTCACGATTTGAAAACTGCATTGACTAGAAACGATGGAATTGGTATCTAAGTGTGCTAGGTTTTGGAAATTTCATGTGGTGGTCAATCTTAAATTTCAAGAATTATTGAAATGTCATCCTTTTACGTTATCCGGTATTTTCGAGAGTTTTTAAAAGACACAATGTGTAAGAGAATTTTGTTTCTGTCTTTTGCATAGTTTTATGCATGAGCCTTTGCAATCAAATATATTGTGCTCCAATGTACCAGCCACCGATCATGTTCGTGTCGATGTTAGAAGTTTTCAATCATGGGGGAAGGAATGGTTCAATCTGTATAGTTGAGTTCGTCAGGACCGCACCAAGCACTAAGAATACACTTAGCTTCAAGAGATCGCCAACATCTGGTGGATAAAATTTCATTTAAAAAAAATAATATATTTTTTAAGGTTTTGGTCACAGGAAATCCGAATAAATTAACATCTTCCATTTACGGAGAAAAATGTCAGAAGGGTAATGGTTCTTTCCAGACAAATTCCCATATATAAAGGCCACACGAAACTATGTTCATGTAAACTGTATCGCCCGCGATACAGTGGGCCTCTATATCGCCAACAGTGCAAGACACTGATACTAATTGTCTATAGTGTCATCCAGCTACTTGAACGGTTCTCCTGCCAAGCCCATTAAGCGGCCTTCGATGACAATGGACGCCCAGCTGTGATGAGTCTCTCAAATCGCATTACACGCAGCTATTCCTGCCATGAATCTCACGCTTCGCTTTTCTGTTCCTTTCAGATTTGGTTCATGAAAAGAAAAAATGTGAATGCTTAAAAAAAATATTTGAATGAAGCTTTTACGAGCTTTATCATATTGTTGTGGAAAGAAAAAAGTTTTGTTAATCAGTGGTGGTTGTGAATTTTTAACATTTAGTTTGTTAGGTCTATAGTTGATAAGCAGTTATTGACATTCCTTGTTGGCAACTCTTGTTGATGTTAATGTTGAGGCTCGAGTTCATAGACCTCATGCATTGCAGGTCTAGCTATCTCATGTTGTACTCTTTGTTGTTTTTTAAATTGGTACAATGAATGCACAAAAGATTTAGCCACGCCCATCCAGGCAATACAAAACCATTAGCCACGCCTATCCAGGCAATACAAAACCATTAGCCACGCCTATCCAGGCAATACAAAACCATTGCCCTCTGACTCCGCACAGCGTCTATTAGGGCAGATCAAGAAACCAGGTGCTGCTTGCATCAAGATTAAAGATGTACTGACCGATATATTTTCACCCGAAGACACATTTTATTTTTAGCTTTTTTTTCTAGCAACACAAAAGTTATTCACTTTTGAATGAGACATCGAGCGCGAAAAAAAAATCGCCCCACGTTTATAGTCTGAAACAATTACTTTACACATTTAGAATTATTTCAGGCATATCTTTTTGTGCATTGTAAACGCACAAGCAACCCAAATAAATACAGGGTGAGTAAAAAAAAATATGTCGAGACCATTGTTTTCGTGAAGTTCTGAATGTAGCACTTTCAAATTCTAGAATATGACAGCCCAATTCATAAGCTTTCTTTCAGTATAAAAATCATTCAAATCACTCATGTACTTTCCAAGTTATTGAATTTTAAACACAACCACCGTTTTAAACCTCTGTCCACGGATCACAAAAAAGGTGTTCAGCAAAACGAAAACGATTAACACATATCCCTATGTGATTTGTTTTTGTATTGCTGAAAGAACACTTACCTTCTTGTGATCCGTGGACAGAACTTTAAAACGGTGGTTGTGTTTAAAATTCCATAACTTGAAAAGTACATAGTGATTTTAATGATTCTTGTACTAAAAGAAAGCTTATGAATTGGACTTTCATATCCTAGATTTTGCAAGTGCTACATGAAGAACTTCACTAACACAATAGTCCCGACATTTGGGTTGCGCTTTTTTTGACTCGCCGTTGAACCTGTATACCGAATCGAAATTACACATTAAAACTAGTACTAGTAGGCTACACGTAGGCTACACGTAGGCTACAGCCCAACAAACATACGCTTGCAATAATATATGCATGGCAGTTGCATATTAAAGTGTAGGCTCAAATCGAGTTTACACGAAGTGTGACATGGAACATTGTGCGGGACCCAACCCCCAGTTAACCACGGTGTCAATTGACACCTATCCACGATCGACCCCGAGTTGCCATCTGACTCTGTGCACAGACAAATTGAATAAATAGTGTCTGCGAGGGGGCTGATGTCTACCGCTGGTCGCGGCGAGAAGTCGGGGTGGAGGAGGCTGATCGACATTGGGTCACGGATCGAAATGTTCCAGACA